TTTTCCTTCAGTACAGCTGCAGAAATATAGAATTCTTAGACAGAATGTATCCCAGCTGTTCAAGGATTATCAGATGAAGACATTCCCTTTTCTCTCTGCCCTCACTAAAACTAACCACATTATTAATACTATATTGATGCAAAATCTGGGCAAATATATAGCTTTGAACTCTCTTCTATCATATTAGTGCTGCTGCTTATTCCTCGTTCTTGTTCCTGCTAAGTCTGTTTTCAAAGTGAGCTTCCACAGAACCATGTAAACAAGTATGTGGATTTGCTTTATATGAAGGTCTAAGCAGTGAACTGCACTTATTTCAGAGAGTTTGATGTTAAGTCACTGATTAACAAGAGTTTTTAATATCTATAGGCATTTTCAGAAAAGTTTCCTTCAAGTGTGGTGATCACTATAAATCAGAATAACTGAATAATAGTGTAAAAATGAGAATCACAGTGAGAAATTAATAGCTACCTTTTTAACTACTGAGTTGTCACTATGTTTATTACAAACTGTGAATTAGTATTGTGAAGATAACTGTTACTTATTTATTGGTGTGTGACACTGAGCATTACCTTTATTTTTGGATGTTTGTGATGCTGTGCATCGTACTTTCACAATTCTTGAAACGTAGGACTTCAGCACCAATTCACTACAGCTAATGGAGCTGCCATATGGCTTTATTCTTTGCCTAACCTTTACAGGACTCGTTCACATGAGCACTTTGTGAATCAGTATATGTAAAGCTACATGTCCTTGGTTCTAAAGTGCATTTCCTTATCAGGATATAGGGCAGTGCATTATGCTGCGTGTTTATGATTTGGAACACTGACTGATAACATACAGGCACAGTCAAACAAAATGGTAAAACACGAAACAACAACCAACTCATTTGTTTGGGGGAAAGAATATGACATCAGAAGGAAAGAGCTATATTCTCAGCCATATTTGATTGGACGTAGTCAAAAAGCTGAAATAATACAACCATTAAGATCTGTTTTTCTGATACCTACCCATATCCACATAATAATATCTATTTATTTTTCTCTGGTATCCTAGTGGAACTTTGAACGTTTCTGACCTATTTTATTTTCCATTGCGTATTTACTGTGTTGTTGGAAGCAAAATTTCTCGTTCTTTCTAGTCACATTAACCTCATAAACTGTAATAAGAGAAGCAATATTTTAAATGAGTACTTGTGCTATTAAATAGAAAAATGTTTACTGAAATGATTTTATGAGGGCCTAGCAGGACAAGAATTTGAGCCTTTTCAGTCTGACACATAAATATTACTGATTCAGAGGAAAAGACACGTTTCTAGAGTTGGCCCTTTCCAGAATGTTGTTTTAACTGGGTAGTTTTCCTAGGAGCTCTGGAAATGGGACTTTCTGAATGGAAAGATCTGATCATCTAGAAGGGTTTTAGTCTGTGCAGGTATTCTGCATCCGCACAAATACAAAAATGATCGTCACAGACTAATGACTAGAAAGTGTTATCCTAAAAATTTTAGACTCTAATTACTTTCAGAGTTAATCTAATTTAGAAGCCATCTTTCCTTAGGTTTCTGATATTTGGGGAAACAACACTGATAAGTGTTTGGTTTTCTGTTGCAGAAGGAATTTCTCAGCTGCAACACCACTCCTTCTGTTACACTCATGCACATGGAGTTAAGCATGGCTGACACTTCTGTGGAACAGTGATCCGTATGTAAGATATATAACAATTCATGGAGGGAGGTTGTAGTGCAGCAGGGGTCGGTCACTTCTGCAAAATAACTACTGATAAGAGAAAATGGCCTCAAGTTGCACCAGGAGAGGTTCAGATTAGATATTAGGAAAAATTTGTACATAGAAAGAGTGGTGAAGCACTGGTACAGGCTAACCAGGGAAGTGGTGGTGTGGTGGTGGTGGTGGGTGGTGGTAGTGGTGGGTGGTAGTGTGGGAAGTGGTGGCAGTGCTCAAGAAACAGGTAGATGAGGCACTTAAAGACATGGTTTAACAGGCTTGGTGCCAAAGGCCTTATGGTTGGGCTCGATGATCTTGAAGGTCTTTTCCAACCATAATGATTCTATGATCTTCAAAAAGGGCAAGAAGCAGGACTTGGGCAACTACAGGCCAGTGAGCCTCACCTCCATCCCCGGAAAAGTGTTGGAACAGCTCATCCTGACTGCTGTCTCCAGACACATGGAGGAGAAGAAGGTGCTCAGGAGTAGCCAGCATGGATTCACGAAGGGGAAATCATGCTTGACTAACCTGATCACCTTCTATGAAGGAATATCTAGCTGGATAGATGAGAGCAGAGCGGTGGATGTCGTCTATCTGGATTTGAGCAAGGCTTTTGACACTGTCCCTCACAGCATCCTCCTGGGCAAGCTCCGAAGGTGTGGGATAGATGTGTGGACGGGGAGGTGGATTAGGAATTGGCTCAGTGGCAGGGTGCAGAGAGTGGTAGTCAGCGGTGCGGAGTCCAGTTGGAGACCTGTAGTTAGCAGTGTCCCCCAGGGGGGTAGGTCCTCGGTCCGGTCCTGTTCAACTTATTCATTAACGACCTGGATGAAGGGCTGGAGTGCTCCCTCAGCAAGTTTGTCGACGATACCAAACTGGGAGGAGTAGCTGATAGCCCTGAGGGCTGTGCTGCCATCCAGAGGGACCTGGACAGACTGGAGGACTGGGCGGTGAGAAACCTCATGAGGTTCAACAAGGGCAAGTGCAAGGTCCTGCACTTGGGGAGGAATAACCCTGGACACCAGTACAGATTAGGGGTGGACCCGCTGGAGAGCAGCCCTGCAGAGAGGGACCTGGGTGTCATGGTGGACGACAAGTTGACCATGAGGCAGCAGTGTGCCCTGGTGGCCAAGAAGGCCAACGGGATCCTGGGGTGCATTAAGAAAAGCATCTCCAGCAGGTCGAGGGAAGTGATCATCCCCCTCTACTCAGCCCTGGTGAGGCCACATCTGGAGTACTGTGTCCAGTTCTGGGCTCCCCAGTACAAGAGGGATGTGGAGCTGCTGGAGAGTCCAGCGCAGGGCTACCAGGATGATCAGGGGCCTGGAACATCTGCCCTGTGAGCAAAGGCTGAGGGAGCTGGGCCTGTTCAGCCTGGAGAAGAGGAGGCTGAGGGGGGACCTGATCAGCGTGTATAAATACCTCAAGGGAGGCAGTGAGGAGGAGGGGGTGGCCTCTTTTCAGTGGTGAGCAGGGATAGGACTAGAGGAAACGGCCACAAGCTGAGGCACCAAAAGTTCCACAGGAACTTAAGGAAACACTTCTTAACAGTGAGGGTGCCAGAGCCCTGGAACAGGCTGCCCAGAGAGGTTGTGGAGTCTCCTTCTTTGGAGATCTTTAAAACCCGCTTGGACGCAGCCCTGTGCCACGTGCTCTAGGTGACCCTGCGTGTGCAGGGGGGTTGGACTCGATGACCTCTGAGGTCCCTTCCAACCTTAAGCATTCTATGATTCCAACTCGAATGTTTGCCCTTCCCATGAATGTGCTCTTTATGTAAATACATTACACCTTCTCCTAATTTCTGATTCGAGAAATACGTTTTCAAAACACCTTTTAAACACCTTTTACATTACATTAAGATCCCCTTTTCTCTTTAAAAATAATTTTCTTTATATTGAAAGTGCTTTGGAAAGTTCAGACTTGTTCAGCTCAGCTCAGTGTCTCCCTGAACATGGTGTCTTCTTGGTGTGACAGTGAGAGAAGGGGAATTTTGCCAGATAAAGTCACATCTCTGAGGCCTTTTCTGGGCACCACTGCAAGGCAAAGTAGACCACACAGCACCCCAAACTCTACGCAACTGCCTCATGGTTCCTAAGGAGCTGTTTGCCAGACATTGCCCTGCCAGCCTCGCAGCCACAGCCACAGGCCTTTCCTTTCCGTATACAATGGGGACTTGAGAGCGGGAGGCAGATCAGGAAACATGCTCCTCTGTACAGACCAGCAAATCTCCCCTAAAGAGGCAGTTTTCCATAGCTGTTTACATTAAGGTTATATAAGGACTCATTTCTTTACTGTCTTCAAGCTTCCAGTTAGAAAGAAAACTTACAGTTTTCAACTGACACTACTTCGATGCAAGGGAATAAGATCTAAATATTTAATTTGAGCCCCCGACTCATTCTTCTGTACATTTATTTATACTTCTTCCAGCCCCTTTATGCCTGTGTGTGTGACAGAAGAGTGCTGCATTTCAGACTCACAATGACAAGTACTGCAGAGAGTGTCAGCAGCAAAACTGACTTGGACTCTGCTCAAGCAAGCTAAGCACTCTGGTGTTCCTTCTTGTAGAGAAATCCTCTGCAATTCTTCATTTCCAACAAATTACACATTTTCTCCGCCCACTCCCTCTTTATCAAGCCATTACTTTTCATTCTAAACTACATTTCCCAGTCAATTTAAGCCATTGGCTTGATTTCAGCTTATTGTTTTCTTTACAAAGGTTAAGACCACACACTCTGAGCTCTGCTAACACACTGTATTATGCTACTAGTAGACAAATTTTAACATCACATCACATACAGTTGCAGTTGTTGTTGGAACATGCCTTTTAAAAAATACCTTTATTGGATGAAATCGTCTCTTTCCCAAGAAAAATCTGGTTCTTTAATATAATTTATTATGCCTTTTAAAATTCTGTCTGTTCAATAAAATCTTTGCTATATTATAAATACCTGTAAAGAAAATATAATTTAAAATTCTGAGAGAAAACTTTTTTTTTCCCTTTTACATTTTTCACAAAACCCACACAGGTACCAAGGAAAGACTAACAATAAAAATAATTTATTCCTGTACAATCTCCTCTGGGTTGGAAACATTCAAAAGAGAGACTTTAAAGTTGTCCTCTGATGAAACTTTGGCTACAACATGGGAACTGAGCTTAAAACAAAGTAGGGTCCTATGTTTTGCCCCTGTTTAATCTGAGTGCTCCTTTCAAGGGGTGATTGCTAGTACTTTCCTCACCTTATCATACCTGATTGACGACTGGCTAAAACTGCTGTTCTCTGAGGGAAGCAGCCTCTAAGCTTCATTGCACAGAAGTAAAGCTCATCCTAACCGACCATATAGGAATATTTTTGTAGAGATTAACTCCCAATTCTGAAAATTAAACATCAGTGGAACTACGTTAGTGCTCTCAATGGCCAATAGCAGCTATTAGAAACTGTAATATTTTGCTTCTTCAGTAGTTACAAATCGCCATAAGAAAGCTTCTGATTTGGACGACTTGTGTATTTTTGCTCACTTCTTGTTCTAAGCAAATTGCTTAGTACAGAAGGAGTGATTTAGTCTAAGAGACATCCAATCTCAGAGTTGCTATTTTTGAGGTATGATAACATGGAGTAGAAATATAGAAGAACTCATCAAATCAGCTAAGCTAAATTTACCCAAAGCTGGCAAAAAAATGCAGAGTAAGCTCAAGATTGGCACTGGAATGAATGAATAAGTAGAGATTTTCCAATCTTAAATTTGGCAAGACAAATTTTAACGTTATCTTTATGCAGTCCTGCTTATCTGTAAGATTTAAGTATGGTCTTAAATTGCAAGCTTTATCATAAAGTTTGAGGAATCACTGTCCACAGTGATGATTTATCAGCAAAATGTTAAACTCCTGTTTCACAAACACTTGCATCACTTAAAGAAATAGACAGTGAAAGACAAGTATTTCTTCAATGTTTGGAAATATATTTCAGTAGATAGATATCAGAAACAGGGAGAAAAAGAACTAAAACCTAGTCAGTATTTATTCCTATGATCTTGAGCACTATAATTAGGTACTGTGTTTTTTGTTCCATTAGGAATCTTTATTTCCTTGATCTAGATACCCTCCAAATTCTGACTGTCCAATATTATACTGCTTTTTAATTATGAACAAGAAAATAATAAGCCGAGATTGACTTTGACATTAAAGAGGCTATGTGAGGAAAACTATTTCTCTAAGAAACACTTCCAGTCATATCATTCTACTCCAGATTTCCTTTTTTTTCACCCACAATAGGGTGACAGACCTTTCTTTCCTTCTTTCCTTCTACTGGTTCCTTTCTCTTGATATTTGTATCTCAAGGCTCCCCCATACATTTTTCTTTAACTTGCTAAATGAAGAAGCATTACAATCCACCACTGACATTTCAACAGCCAGTCTTTTAAGTGGACTTTGCAGAAATAGTTCCCATTTCCATACTACTTTAGCCACAGATTAAGGAAAGAACAGATTCATTGTCTTGACTGCCGAGGATGCAGATATCTCAGGAGATTTTTTTATTACTTTACTTTAGAAACCTAACTGAGCTTCCATAGATAAAAGGTTGGTCCCTCAAAACTCCTGTAGTAAAAAATAAAATAAAATAGATGGGTAGTCCACCAGGTAATTCAGAGCCACTGTAAAAACTAGCCAAGTGCTTTGAAATGCTACTTATAGGAGCCTTTGGCTTCATTAAGCCTACAAAGACTAGAGTTACAATTCAGGCACTTCAGTTAAAATTAGGTGGCAAGAATGCTGTCCCAAGGTCTGGCATGCCTCACTCAGGGCTCCTTTATGTTAGTATGTATCTGCCTGTAGCTTACATCAGAAATAACTCCTTTACTGTGTGCTTAGAATAAGGCTTTCCAGGGATGGATAGTAAACGAGTGGTTGGCATTTTCCTATCGTGCTCCAATCCAACTCCAGCTTTACAGCTGTTCCTTTCCTGGAGAACAGAAATTGCATTGTTTGGAAAAGGGACAAAAAAAAAAGAGAAAAAGAAAACTGTGACAGAAGCAGTACTGGCTGCCAATCTTAAATCCTGAATAAATGCCAAGTATAAAAAAGACTGCAATATTTATTACAAATCCAGGGATGAGAGTATCTCCCTATAGCTTTGGCTTTTCAATTCAAAACTGTTTAGTAATTCAGGTTTTGAATCTTACTGCATGCTAAGGGAATAGGGTGAAAGAATAAGTAATATGAAAATTTATGTTTAAAATAGAGCATTAGGGTTTTGGGGGTTTTGTTTTCCCTGGGGGAATACTGTTGTGTTTCATGCCTGAGGGGGCAAGTCTACTCACATGGCAATGAATAAAGGCTTTGAAAAAAGCTATTACTAAAAAGCATCAGTTTACTGCCTTATCCTCCCACACCTATTTTTGTCCTCTTCCTGATATTTGTGCTAAATATGAAGCAATCAAAGCAGCAATCACACAACTAGAGCATACGATAGACTCCTGAAAAAAACTGTGGAGGTGGGGTGGGGAGCATGAATATTTCCAACTCAGCACCATACCCTATCGTTTAGTTTCCTTCATTCAGAATATCAACCAAGGCCTGCAGCAGTCTGTCATCTCTATGCTTGTATGGTTTGGCATTGTAAAAAAGATCAACGTAGTCACTGTACAGACTTTCTTCTGAGTCTTTTAGCTGGAAAGGCTTGTTTAACTTTTCGAGGGCTTGATAGAACTGTTCGTATGGAATATTTAACTTCTCACTTGCAGTCTTCTCGGGCAGGCGCTTCCGAGCCATCTGCCTGCTAAAAGCACTTTGCAGCAAGTGCAGCATGGCCTCCGATGGAATTTTATCTTCTGCTTTGTCACTGCTACTACTGGTGCCTGCTGTGGCTTTGGGATTTTCACTCGGGTACCACGGGGTGGTATGATCCTAAAATACAGGATATAGGTGTCAATGAAAAATTGGCTAGAGTCAATTTAGTTTACTCTAAATAGTGATTTTTGTGTGCAAGTGCAAATAGGTACATGTGCTACTTTTTTCAATCAGGGGCTACTAGCACCTAGAATAGAATTAGACCATGATATAACAGAATTGACGATTGAAAGCACTACAGACACAGTTAACTGAATCCCCCTGAATCCGGGAATCCCTGACTTCTGTGCTGCCATTAGTCACAAACTTTATTCCAAACTTCCAGCAAGCCGGCTCCTTTGAGGTCTGAGACTTGCTTTCACTAGAATTATGATAAATGCTGTGTATCTGTTAGAGGAATAATCTTCCTTCATTATACCACTCAACTTCCTTAGATATTGAGTTGACAGCTGGTCAATGGCCTCTTAACATCCTAAAGCCCTTAGATGTTGGTATGTGAAAACAGAGTTGAAAGAAAATAGCAGTTGTTGAAATGGACGTAAACACAGTGCTCACACAACGTGGTTAAGGGGTAGAGGAAATGAATACAGAATGAATGAGTGCCCTCTAACTAGAAAAAAAAACATAGAAAAAAAATACCATATTCTTATAATTTGAAAAATAGGTAAGGAAGTAAATTAGTGTGACACTACCTCTACAAGGTCTGTCATTTTCTCCACTCCCCTTCTGTCATTTTGCACAGCATTGTAGGATGTGTACACACGTGGCTTCTTCATGTGTTCAGGCTGGGTAGATGTGCCATGCAAAATCAGCTTCCAATTTACAATCCTCCCTTCATTTTGTATTCTTCTGGACTAAAAAGAAAGCATGACATTAGCAAAGGTTCTCAGGAAGTAAGATGAAACAGAAGATACTTGATCTAAAGTTAGATAGAAGACACTAAAATAAACTATAAGGCTTTCAGTATTTAAAATCAGACAACGATTTATAAGCATCAAAGGACATTATAAATAGAATATGTCAGAATGTGGAATTTAACACAAAGTCTTGACTATTCCAAATACCCATATTCTAATGCAATATAATAATAAATGAATCATGTAAATGTTAAAAGAATTTCATAACATAGAATGCCAAAAATTATTGAACTATTATTCTGTGTTATTAGGGTTTGTTCACCAAGCCAGTCCCTGGCAATGTCGCCACAGCAGTTGCCACTGAAGCAATCATTTGCAATAATATTCTACAGTGCTGATGTACAGCAGTAGTCTGAAACACAGCTTGTGGAGCACCAAATGCTTTATCCATTATTTTTGATCACAATATTCAAAACTGGAAACTTGACAGTAGTAAAGGCAAGTATGGAGAATGCTGAAAATTATCTTTACCAAAGCTTCTTTTCATAACTTTTTGCTCAGATAATTATTACTTGAGATAGCAAGATCATTGACCTGTTGGAAAGCAGCTCCGCAGAGAGGGACTCGGGAGTCCTGGTTGACACCAAGTTAATCATGAGTCAGCAGTGTGCCCTCGTGGCCAAGAAGGCCAATGGGATCCTGGCTGCATCAGGAGGATGTTGGCAGCAGGTGGAGGGAGGGGATCCTGCCCCTCTGCTCAGCTCTGGTGAGGCTGCTCCTGGAGTATTGGGGGCAGTTCTGGGCTCCCAATATAAGAGAGATGTGGAGCTTCTAGAGATGGTCTAGCAGTGAGCAATGAAGATGATTAAGGGACTGGAACATCTCTTGTATGAGTAAAGACTGAGTTGGGCCTGTTTAGCTTGGAGAAGCCTGAGAGGAGATCTAATCAATATGTATAAGTACCTGAGGGGAGAATGTAGGGAGGAGGGGGACAAACTTCTCAGTGGTGGCCTGTGATAGGACAAGGGGCAATAGGTACAAATAAAAACACAGAAAGTTTCATCTCCATATGAGGAAGAACTTCTTCACCATGAGGGTGCCAGAGCCCTGGCACAGCCTGCCCAGGGAGGCTGTAGAGCCGCCTTCTCTGGGGATCTTCCAAAACCGCCTGGATGCCGCCCTGTGCCCCGTGCTCTGGGTGTCCCTGATTGAACAGGAGAGTTGGACTAGATGATCTCTAGAGCTCCTATCTAACCTCAAACATTCTGTGATAGCAGCTAAAGCTCTTAATTTCTAATAAATTTTCTACTTAATTTTACATGTATTTATTCTAGCACTCAGGATCTTCTCTCACTTGAAAATGGAATAAACTGATCTTAATGGCATTCATTCCAAAAATGCGTTACAGGAGTTACAAAGAGTAGGATATCTGTAACCACGGGTTTAGCTATAAGCCCACAGTATTAACTCTGCAGTGTTGATAATAATATTTACTTCTACTGCCTTGTCCACCTGCTCTGTACTTGGCATTATCCTCCTGTTTACAATTTGAGGCCAAAAGGAGTTGGAGGCTCGGTGTCTGATAGAAAACACTCCATTTTGGACAGGGTCGGACCACTAATGACAAGTTTATTAACAGACAACTTCAACAAAACTCTCCAAAGATGAGAGAGCTTGATCAATCTCTCCTTGAAGAGGACGATTTTTCAGTTGCGTATCAAACAGCGCTTTCTGGTGGTGCACTGATGTAATCCATATCCCCAGGTGGTTTGAGCAAACATATTTATTTTATATCTGTAGATTTCTTGGATTCAATCATTAAAGTTTTTTCAGCAATAATTATGGCAGTAATTATGCTGAAAGGAAGGTAGGGACAGATATATAGCAGAACAGCTCTATAAAGTCACCAGAAATTCATTAATTCAAAGGTTGCAAGTTAATGAAAATTATGAACAACTACCAAGAGGAGACTAGATCTATCCCATGCTCTTCTCTGCAGGACAAACTAATTTGCAATGAATCATATATAAATTGTATTATACTGCATTATATATTATACACTCCATAAATCACAAAAAATTATAGGAAGTGATTTCTCTCAGTATTATATGATGCAAGAAATATATAGGCAAGAACTTTTATTGATAAGTATACACCATTGAAGTGAGGCTGGTTTTGTCTTTATGTGATGAACAAGAAAATGTGACCTTATCTTCTCTGTGTGTGTTTCAGAGGAGCCAGATGGATGTGTACTTTAAACAAAGTCCCGTGGGAGTCTGCTCACTGAGAAGCCCCTCTCTTCAAGATGCTTGACACAGGCTATCAATCATTTTATCTGTGTTAGTTGCCAAATACCTTGCAATTTAACATACAGGTTTACTTACCACATCAGTAATTCTTAACACCCAGGTGCCTGTTGGATTCTCTCCCCATGTGTGAACAGACATGAAGTCCCAGTTCTTAAAGCCATTAGGAGACTTGTCTCTCTCTCTCTCTGCCAGTAGGACAGTGCTGGTTCCTGTATTAGTACAATAAATCAATAGAAGTAAATGCTCATCCATATCTGTTTTTATTTTTCAAATTACTCAGCAGGCAAGCTATTCAGAACATGCATAATTAACCTGGAATAGGCAGAATTTAACATGGGCTTGTAGAATGGGAAATACGCCATTTCCGATCACTGATTAATTCTTTTCTAAGCAATATTTAAGAGTATAAAAACTGTCATATTAGGTCACATCAGAAAGGTACACCTTGCTTAGCAGTGGGTTTCTAATAGGAATCAGTAGTATAGGCTCCGAAAAAAAAGCCTAAGAAACATATCGTACACAACCAGACTTTCTCTAGCAAAGAGAAGTTCAGAGATTTTTTTGACCTGGAAGTTTCTAAAACAAACCAGCATTTTAAAGAGACACTGATAGATACACTTGTATTTAATTTGGTTGCTGCATTTTAATGATTTAATTCTAAATTCAACAGCATCCTGTGACACTCAGTCTTGCGATTTAACTTGCTAACCTAGATTACTGCCCAGAATGTGGGGAAGGGGAGTATCACACCTTTAAGAAACAGATGTGGTAGCAGACAGCAAAATATTCCAACAAATGAAAATTGTATGAATTAACCTATTTTTATGAAATGCCAGAGCCAAAATAATGTTTGTGCTCATCAAAAGGAAGAAGCAGCAAGGAAATGGGAGCATATACGGAGCAGCGGGTGAAGGCAGAGGTAAGGCAGTATGGGGAGGGGAAGTGGGCCATCTCCTTTCAGCAGCAGTGAGTTGTTAATTCATCTCACACAGCATTACGAAATGAAAGGGTTATACAGAACTCATCATCTTAAATTTTTTGATGAGTGAATGTAAACAATTACATCCTGAAACACTAACATGGGGGAAAGCATTCACATTACTTTTACTATTATTATTATTATTATTATTATAAAAATGCAGGAGTTCACCAAATATTTCTGTAGAAATCTGCAAATCTCTTCTGCAAAAGAGATTTTGCTACACAGTAGGAGTCTTGTGCTTGTTTGCATATAGAGAGCAAGCAACGGAGCTTTATTTACATAATATAGAGCAGAAAGCCCCAGGGAGCCTTATCATAAGCTATAAATACATTTAAAGATCACACCATAAATATAGAAAAGGAACAACATGCATTCAGGAGGAACATTTTAAAGAAAGGTGGGAAGAACTGAGAAAAAGAATAATTTAACAGTTTAACCATGATACTAAGGTAGAGGGAGTAAACCCCATGATTGCTACCTCAACTAAAACCACAGAAGTACAAAAAGGACATGAGAAGATATTACTGTCATCAGGCTTTTAAGTCTGATGTTCACTAAGGTTCACCTAATTCCCAGACATTAGCAGCAGAGTGAATTAGGGACTGAAATACTTTTATGAAACTGAAGTTGCTCTCTTCCCCTTCCTAGATCTTAGGAGACAGTCTATCCATTTACACCCAAGCTAAAACTCATCCAGAGTGGAGTTACATTTGGAAGTATACACCAATAGTCAAGAGGAGAACACATCATAGTAATATTGAGGTCATCTGCCGTAACAAAGAAGGTAAACTCAGAAAAGGAAGAAATAAAGTTAGGCTTGAAATGAATCACAGACAGGTAGGGTTTGGAAATACACAATACATACAACACCTTAACTCTGCTCTCCAGTAAAAGTCCTGCAATAATGATGTGAGCAATGTTCTAGCATTTTATTGTCTGTGAATTACTAATTTAACCTTACTATTAGGATATTAGGTTAGACTGATTCTTAAACTGGTATCTGAAAGCTTGTCATTTTTAATACTTGTTAAATACTTTTATTACTTACACCTTTGTCTGTATTTTTTAATACACGTTCTACTCTTTTTCTTCTTTTCATGGTTCTAGAATCCCAGGCCCTAGGGACACACGAAGAGAGCCAGAGGAAGGAAGGCTTGCCCTGGGTAGAGGAAGAGTGGGTCAGAGAGCATCTAGGGAGCCTCGACACCCACAAATCCATGGGCCCTGATGGGATGCACCCCAGAGTGCTGCGGGAACTGGCAGATGTCCTAGCCGAGCCGCTCGCCATCATCTTTGGAAGGTCCTGGAGAATGGGGGAGGTGCTGGAGGACTGGAAGAAAGCCAACATCACTCCAGTCTTCAAAAAGGGCAAGAAGGAGGACCTGAGTAACTACAGGCCGGTGAGCCTCACCTCCATCCCTGGGAAAGTGATGGAGCAGCTCATCCTGGCTGCTCTCTCCAGACACATGGAGGAGAAGAAGGTGCTCAGGAGTAGCCAGCATGGATTCACCAAGGGGAAATCATGCTTGACTAACCTGATCACCTTCTATGAAGGAATATCTAGTTGGATAGATGAGGGCAGAGCGGTAGATGTGGTCTATCTGGATTTGAGCAAGGCTTTTGACACTGTCCCTCACAGCATCCTCCTGGGCAAGCTCCAAAGATGTGTGGACGGGGAGGTGGATTAGGAACTGGCTCGATGGCAGGGTGCAGAGAGTGGTAGTCAGCGGTGCGGAGTCCAGTTGGAGACCTGTAGTTAGCAGTGTCCCCCAGGGGGGTAGGTCCTCGGTCCGGTCCTGTTCAACTTATTCATTAACGACCTGGATGAAGGGCTGGAGTGCTCCCTCAGCAAGTTTGTCGACGATACCAAACTGGGAGGAGTAGCTGATAGCCCTGAGGGCTGTGCTGCCATCCAGAGGGACCTGGACAGACTGGAGGACTGGGCGGTGAGAAACCTCATGAGGTTCAACAAGGGCAAGTGCAGGGTCCTGCACTTGGGGAGGAATAACCCTGGACACCAGTACAGATTAGGGGTGGACCCGCTGGAGAGCAGCCCTGCAGAGAGGGACCTGGGTGTCATGGTGGACGACAAGTTGACCATGAGGCAGCAGTGTGCGCTGGTGGCCAAGAAGGCCAACGGGATCCTGGGGTGCATTAAGAAAAGCGTCTCCAGCAGGTCGAGGGAAGTGATCATCCCCCTCTACTCAGCCCTGGTGAGGCCACATCTGGAGACTGTGTCCAGTTCTGGGCTCCCCAGTACAAGAGGGATGTGGAGCTGCTGGAGAGAGTCCAGCGCAGGGCTACGAGGATGATCAGAGGCCTGGAACATCTGCCCTATGAGCAAAGGCTGAGGGAGCTGGGCCTGTTCAGCCTGGAGAAGAGGAGGCTGAGGGGGGACCTGATCAGTGTCTATAAATACCTCAAGGGAGGCAGTGAGGAGGAGGGGGCGGCCTCTTTTCTGTGGTGGCCAGCGACAGGACTAGAGGAAATGGCTTCAAACTGAAGCATCGGAAGTTCCACAGGAATTTAAGGAAGCATTTCTTCACAGTGAGGGTGACAAAGCACTGGAACAGGCTGCCCAGAGAGGTTGTGGAGTCTCCTTCTTTGGAGATCTTTAAAACCCGCTTGGACGCAGCCCTGTGCCACGTGCTCTAGGTGACCCTGCGTGAGCAGGGGGGTTGGACTCGATGACCTCTGAGGTCCCTTCCAACCTTCGGCATTCTATGATTCTGTAATTTCAGGGCATTGTCAAGGTATTTTAGCACATTTAATGTAGTGGTAGTAAAGCGCCTAAGAGAGGTATTAGGTTTTTAATATACCAATGACAAAACACAATTATATGAAATCCCGGGAGTAGGCTTACTCTGTTTTCCAGCACAGTAAGGCTGATAAGACCAACAAACTATAATTTGCTGCATGTCATGAACTCTCTATTTGCAGTATTCAAGGCTGTGTCTAAAATTTAAGGTATTAGAAATGATGTCCGCATTTTTAGAGCTGTGATTTCCCAACTTCTGTATACAAAAATAACTCAACATGAAGGCAGAGAAGAGTATTGAGAGCTCCAGCTGTCTAATTCCAGGATGCTTTGTCCTCACTCACCTGTCAGAAGTTTTGTTTACCAATGAGCTGAACTACTTTTAATCAAGGGAAGAGCAGGTAGCTTTTAATGAAATAAATTCTACATGCTACTACAGTGGAAACAAAGCATTTCCTTTCCGCCTTTACCTGACGGAGACTCCAGGGTGACATGCAGGTCGCCCCTACGGGAATACTCGATTGTTGCCTCAAGCTGCACATGCTCCAGCGACGCAATGGAGTTTTCTTGACCTTCACAGGCTTTTGTGGGAATTTCAATGATGACCTCCCCATTTGCTCTTAGTAATCTGACAAAATTAGAGAAGTTGATGGATTACATACAGGAAGCTTTTGATTCTGTATTATTATGTGAAGGGCAGCTGACACATTTGATACCTGTATCAGAACTGCAAGAAAGGAAGAAAGAACATTTTTTTTTTTAATTTAGTTGCCACAATGAAATCTCCAGGAGAGCTCTTATCATAGAGCTAAATTTTGCAGGAAGCATACCATTTTTTGTCCTTTGTAGTAAATTCTATTTCTAGGAAAAAAGCTTTTTGTACATTCTCAGAGCACTGTATGTAGCTTTCTTTGCACAATTTCTTTTAATTTTAATGAGAACAGCTATCTACATCTCCACCTAAGTCATTCAGAATTCAAAACCTTAGGATCTTTAGTTTTATAATGTAAGACAAAGGCTTGTAATAATAATCATGCTACATAAGAGCTATCACATAAATCACTATATATTTAATAATAAAATAGAAAAGAAAAAACAACAGATTGTGCAAAGGAAAAAATAGATTGATAATAAAACAGAGTAAATACTTGGTTACCAGGCAGTAACAGTCCACAACACCATAATATGTTTCTACACAAAGATTTTTGGTGCACTTACATGGTATAATTTGTAGCTTTGAAATAAATGCATTTGTTCTATAAGGAGACAAGAAAGGTGTAAAGATCCTTACTGATCAACCAAGTTAATGATTAAGTATAACTTACCTGTTTTTGAACGCCATTTAGGCTCAGTACAATTGGAGCATTTGTGGGTATGGGTGGTAGGCCTGCTCAGTGAGCCTTGCATTTCACAAAAGCAGTTATGAATGTGACTAAAGCTCAACATATCACCCTAATTTCAAAAAGTACTTTGTAAGACACAGAAAAAAAAATGTTAAGAAAAATTACAGCTTTTTTTTTTTTTTTTTTTTAAGGCCTGTGGGAGACTTTGGTAGCCTTCTCTTCATCTGCTGATAGCAACATAAACTTTCATATCTGATCACCTTCAGTCTCATCCATCCATACACTGGCTGCACAGTAAGAACTAATAATCTTATTCTTTGTTAAAGCTTTCAAGGTAGCAGTTTCCATTAGTCTCACACTAAATGGCATAAAGCAAGAAGACAAATGCTGTTTGCCTGCCCTCGGGCTCCTAAGGAGTACAGTAAGGCAAAAACAAACGAATCGAAAAGAAACCTCTGGGCTGTAGCCTGGCTTGGAGCAATCTATGCAAAATACTCCCCTTCACGTTTTACTACGATAGACACAATCTGATCTAAGATTAGCTACTATTAATATAAATTCTTACCTTGGTTCAAAGCTTTTGTCTTTGACAATACACTCTTTCTTTTCTGGCACGCCTTTCCATCTTTTAGGATCAGCTAAATCCACCAGTGCATTGGCATTGAGCAATCCAAACCCAAATCGGCTGTTTACCATGAGCCCAGCTCCATTCTTTTTCCATCCTGGATTGCCAGCCAGTGGATCATACTCAGAGGTCCAGACTACCAAGTGTTGCATATCTCTCCAGGTTAGATTTGGGCTGTTGAGAAAATGTTGCTGGTTAATTTTTATAGGAGTATCTATTTTCTCTCAATTATAGGCCTGCAAATACTCAGGAGTGTATATGGCACCCACTTGCTTTAAAGCCAAGAGCACAATAAATGCTTATCCTCACAGTACTTCAGACAAACAAGATCTCTGTTTAAATGAAGGACTGATACCTAGCAATATTAGAGCCCTGTTTTTCAAAGTTATTCAGGCATCTAAAGGTAAGTATTCAACAAAGCTGGCATTTCCTACCCTTCTTTGTGGGACCTTAACTTTGAAAACATTCACTGATACTTGATTCTATTTGGGGTTATCTACACACCCTTTAAAACACGGTCCCACGTATCTTGCCTAATGTCATAAAAGAAATGCAAGAAAAAGAAGCTGAACCTCCATTTTTACAGGACTAAACCTAACCTCTAATGCCTGAAGTGCTTTCTTTGAAAAGTCTATTATCTTTCTCCCCAGCCTCTCCTCTCTCCCATCTTCCTTCCCCTGTAGATTATAAACCAGGACTGCCAGCCCTATACGATTTGCCTCTGCCTGCTCTGACTGTCCAGTTTGGCTACTTCCCATCTGAGGCCTCATCCCCAGCAGCAAGGCTCTGCAAACTGCATAAAGACTTCACTTAAACTCGTACAACCTGCTATCCTCAATTATATTCTCCTGCTACATGTGCAGCCTCATCACCTTTAATGCAGTTGATTGGAGCTCAGCAAACAATTACTGCCATTGCACAACATGGTCTGAACTCCCCAGCTCATCATCTCTTACCTGTGTTGGCCCTGCTTCGCTAAGCAGGTACTGTGGCAAGTAGCTCCTCATTTCTGTCATCAGACTGAACAGATCTGACTGACAAAAAGTGGAGCGACAGCATAAGATGCTGCCCCTATTAAATACACAGCATTTGGGGGACAAGAAAGTGGGACAGCTGAGATAGAGGAGTTTCAATGGTGACTTTAGGACATCTTACTTTGCTTCGAGAGCGAGAGCAAAAATTCCTGCTGCCAGTGGTGCAGATGCAGAGGTCCCAGTGTGAGTCTCTGTACATTCATTGTGAAGATCAGCACTTGTCTAATAGGAAAAGAGGGGGAAAAAAAAAAAAAGATGAAAAACAGTGGTAAATACAGTCATATCCATACTCAAAAACATAACCATGTATCCTTTACTCAGGGCATATTAATATATTCCTCATCAGCAGATAAGTGATGGATGTTTAAATCCATTCACATTTCTATCTACTCTTTTTACATCAACTATAATTTTTGTATCAAAATGCTTTGTGTTGGAAGAAAATACTCCCACACTGAACATCTTACTTTATTCTAAGGCTTCACAATAAGTGTTTCAGGCTTACTGGTGAATCATAAAAACGCATCATTGTGTTGGGTCTAGAACATTTAAAATTACTGCCTACTTCAAAATTACTCATAGGATTAGTACTAGTGTTCTGCTGCCTCTTCAGCAAAAGAACTATAATTTGCAACGAAGCATGTGCTTTAGTTCAAAACTAAATACCAAAATCATTTGCTCCGGTTTCTCAGGTTAGAAACGGAAAATACTGAATCACCAGATCTCAGCTAAAATAGAAACTATTTAGGAAGGACCAATCTTTTCAGTAACATGCACTGACATTATTTTAATCCCCACCCATGTAGTTTATTGTAAAACTACCCATCAACCAGAGCAAAACAGAGTCCAGCTCTTTGAACATTATTTTATCACGGCAAATTCCTTAAGGACAAGTTGTTTCTTCAAAAGGTAATGGAGGCGCTGATTCACCCACTTGCTAAGTAAGTGGAAACCTGTCCACTTAAAAGATTGGAAACACCACTATTTTTGTTAAAATAGTGGGAAAGGAGGGGATGAAAATCTTACAGAAAGTGGTAGAAAATAAAAAATACTAGCAGTCCTTACATTCTGAATTTTTGAAAAAATCTCTTTTTTTTATTGTTGCAATTCTATTAACTCTATCAGATCTTACTCATTGGTTGGGACCTCACTCTCATAAGAAGATTAGATGTGATTTTTTGAAGAATGGGAACATGCCAAATGTGATGCAAAGACCTCCGTTACACCAAACACCAGAATAATTCGGCATTCTGACACAATCACCATTGCCATTCAGCTATTGTTTTGCAGCAACGGATGCTCTGAGAATAAAAGCACTTTTTGGATTTCTAATTCCCCAGTGTTTTAACATTCAAGTACTAAACATGTAACACATAAGTAAAGCAGGCACTTAAAATCAGGCACATAAAAGCTCTCACTTGTTATTTTCATATATAATACATATCTAGGTATGTTCTGAATCTGGTAAAAACAACCTACAATTCTTTGGTCAGTATAATCCCCACTGCTGTACGCTGTGGCCAGAGTTGACGAGCACTTCTCTGCATACCAGGGAGAAAGGCCTTGCTGAGAAGCACTGCTAATGGAGATGGTGTAGATGCTATCAGTGTAACCATCACAGTCACAGTTGTCACCCTGACGGCCTCCATTTCCAGAAGCCCATACAAAAATGGAGCCTTTTCCATTTCGGCCCTAGAGGAAATGAAGGAAGAGATTACGAGAGGAAGAAGAGAGCTTTCAGTCTCTGCAGTACATTGCTAACTACCCCTGCCCACAAAAATGACAGCATAAAATCTCAAACATCCTCAAACAGAGGACAATTTTCCATAGGCAGTGTGGAAGACAGAGCTGGAAGAAAAGGGCTGGATAATATATCCTACTTTACACCTTTTAATTCATGTAGTCTAGGTGTAGTGTTCCAAGTATAGCAACTTTCCTCAAAATAAGTTTTAGATTGAAAAAAGAACCTGTGATCAACAGGCAGTTTTTCCATATGTCAATGTCTGGTTCTAAGTATTTTTAGGAAAAATCACTGTTTTTAAAAGAAGTTGCAAGTTCCTCAGGAGTTACCTCACTTGCACTTCTTGTAATCACAGAAACATAAGTGACATGAATGATCCATGATAGGAATCTTCCACACAATTCCCTTTTGTAATGAAGCCTTTCACAGTTTAGCAGTCACTTCCTGAGTAACAGCAAACCATTAAAGACAACTGACTGAAACCTCTCATTTCCCTTAAGTATTTGTGGGCCAGCAACCATCAGTCCCAGGGCACAACCACTTTCATTCCCCGCTCTGGTGTCCAGTGTATAACGAGGTAGTGGCAGTAAATAATTGTTGCTGACAGTGGGGTGATGCAGCAGCATGCAAACCATCACAGTTATCCTATAAAAATATCAGGTACTCTATATTAAACTGAGTTACTCTTTCAGTAGAAAAATCTGTTTCATGTGAAGAGCAGAAGTTTATATTTTCATTCAGTGCTTACTGAATTACGTACTCACTTGTATTCCAGTGAATACGTATGTACTGCTTACATATTCACTGGAAATAACAGTCAGATATACAGATTTTTATCATGCTCCTACAGACAAGACTTGATTTTACTTGAGCAATGGATAAGAGACACACGCAGCACTTAAAACATTAAAAATAAGGAAACAGAAAAATAAGCCGTGCTCCTTATGATACAATTGGTAAAACAGGAAGGATAATCCATGCCAGCTACAGTAAGGGAGATAATATCTTCTTTTGAAAGCCAAGGCTGCAGTCCAGGCAAGCGCTGGCACATGGGAGCAGCTGCTCTGATTTCACTTGCAGTGCTGCGACGTCTCTCAGATGCTTAAGGCTAAGGCATATGCTAAAGTGCTCTGCTGGGTCAGCAATAAACACTGCTGCGCAACTCCGTCCCCGACCGACTTACATGGGAGGGGAGAGCTCCCCGAGCCCTGCCAGCGGGTGCTTGGAAATTAATGGGCAGGTATGCTTCCCTTAATAAATAAAACAGCCCGTAAAAAAGATTTGCATTCTTCACCACATTCTTCACCCTTTTTCAGTGTGAGACCATGGAACATTGGCTCGCTAATTCTTGCTTGCAATTCTCCTTTTTTTGCTATCTACTTACAGACTCAGATCTCTGTTTATCATCAGCTTATTCCTCTCAGCCTCCATTCTTCTCTCAGTGAATGCTTGTCAGTTGTCAGACTCCTTTGTCTTCTTCCCTCCTTCTGTCTGCTAATGTTAATTGCCCTTTTCTCCAGAATCCTTTCTTTGCACTTGCCCTTCAAGCTTGCCTCCATTTCTTTCCTTTCTCATCTGTTTGATTCAATTTTCTTCTATGTATTAGTACCTGACCATCTTTAGATGTCTTTTCACCTCATCGGCAAGGGCCGTTTATTTATATATTCCCAATAGCTCTCACAGACTGCCCCCTACTTATTATCAAAACAGATCTAAAGAAGGTAACATAAAAAAGAATTGTAAAACAAATGTTTTCAATACTCTCAATCATGTATTTTCACTGTCTTCATTTTAATTGGAAAATGATATTCACCTACTTATAAGCTAGTGCAATTAACACAGTAGATGTCCATTCACAGGGTGCTAAAATGCATCCCTATTTCACCAAGTAAAATATTCACCAAGCAGAAACTTTGTATTAAATTTGTATAGGCTCTCAGTGCAGAAATCCAATTACTGTTCAGAGCAAAACAAGCAGACAGAGAAGAAGCGGGGGTAGGGTGAGACAAAGGCAGCCAAAGTAAAGGTGGAAAACAAAAGGTTATCTGTGGAGGATACCAGCCTAAAATTAGCTTAGAAAGCTCTAATGGTGTTTTTTAAAAGTTATGTTCTGGCTGGTAATTTCTCTGACCTGTACAATTAAAATCCCTTTCCCCCTTTTCAATTGCATTTGAGCGGCAACAGCACAAATTCTCCTTTTCCTCCCTGACCATTTTTACATTCTAGTCTCCTTTCTCTTAAGTAGCCTACCTGTTTTATCCCATACTCAAAAGCCTTCTGTGCCAGTCTGCCAGGTCCCTCTACAGTTTTACCATCATCATTCGGGCCCCAGCTTGCACTGTAAATATCCACGTGTTCTGGATTGAAGCCAATTGAACTGGCTTCAATGGCATCGGTGACTATTCCATCCAGCATACGTATACCTTAACAGGAAAAAACAGGCAGATTAGATATATTTTCTGTTCTCTCTTATTTTTCTTACTTAATGGTTTGTAAAGTTTCCAGCACAATTAATACATGATTATTACACGTCAGCCTGCTGCTGTTCATTTGCTGTTCAAGTAACATTTAGCACAGTTATAAAGAACATGTGGAGCAGTACACTTTACCCTTTATTTGCAGAGCTTGGCACTCTCTATGAACATGAAAAACAAATGTGTAAAATCTTGGTTGCACCTTGTTTACTTGTTTCTCTCCTTTTGCAGAGAGCCAAGAAGATATGTTATGTTCTGTTCCTACTTTTTCTTACTGCATTGAGAGTTCTTTTTTAACTTCTCTTTCTTCCTCTTTGTCAAATCGAAAACAGATTTCTTCCCTCAACTTGCTAATAAGTGACTGAAATAAAACAGGTTTTATCAACATTTATTTTAAGATTTGTAAGAGTTTTAATTCAAAGAGGCAGCTCAGAATGTTCTGCCTAAAACACTTGATCCTCACAGTCTTTAAACATCTGCTGTTTTTGTGATGCTGTTTCACCAGGTCTTCAGTCTTAACCACCGAAGATCCTCACTGTTGTTTTCCTACTTCATTTTTCCTACTGTGACCAATTCAGAGGTGCTCCTAGTATCTAGCCATTAACATTTTATTAGCAACTGCAAGAGCTAACCATCTTCAGAGAAAGCTTGATCTCAGGGATACCTAAAATCCAGTGGCAAACAGCATCTTCAGCTCTGCCAATCTCTGGATCTGCACTAGGATTGCTACCGCTCTCCGCTGCCGGATGGGGATAGCCTGGCAAAGTTCCCAATGTGATAGGGCTCTTCAGCAACAGCAACAACACAGTAGAATCCTGACAGAGTAGTCAGGATTCAGCTTGCATATTCCAGCAATAAAAATGCCTGTGTTCCCTTGATCTCAGCAAGTTAGCACTACAGCAGCGGCACCACTGCAGGCAGTAGGTGAATTATCAACACCCATTTTCTAGCGTAGAAGTTCATGGAGATTTTTCTGAAGCTAAACAAGCAAAACAGGAGTGTTCTATACAAAAGAAACAGACCCAAAAGTCCCTTTACTGCACACCTCAGTCACTCATGCTTTTTTATACTATGAACATGGGAGGAGGAAAAAAGCTTGTAAACATAATTCACTGCCCAAATGGTCAGTCTTTAAGACTCCGCATGTCTCTGAGAGCAAGCTGTGTTTTATTATTTCATATTAACTAGTGCCAAAATGAGACACAGAGTTAACCAGCTCAGCCACGGCCACTCCACTGTCAGTGGCAAAGCTGGAAATAGCATTAAGGTGTGTCTCGTGCTTCAGATGCTAAAAAACAACACATAGCCCTGGCTAGGCTTAACTCAAGCCATCTACTCATTTTTTTGGCTCAGAATCATAAGATTCTCTCATACCAGTGTGCTGTAAGCAAAGATTGGTCTGTGTGGAAATGACTGCAAGCTCTTGGTGCTCGGTTATAACAAATAATGAGATACTGGGAATGCAGAGACTAGTATACAGCTATTTCCCAAACAAGACAAAGCCAACCACGCAGATAAATACTGCAAAAGCACAAACCACAGGCTGGTGAACGCAACTCAAGACAAAAAACTGCTGCCTTAGCTTTATAATCAGCAACATTCTTGCTCATTTAAGTCATCCCAGAGGTTTGATGACTACAGTGATATTTCCCTAAGCTGAGTGCAATTATTTGCGCCCGCACACTGTTTCCCGTTCTTCCACACACTTATTCCTGTCATTGGGGCCACAAATTCAAAACCAGGCAAAACCCAACACAGTTTCAGACAGATACATGGATCTGCCTGGCAGAAAGGCTATTTTTAGCAACACATCACAGTGCTGGAACTCTTGACCCTGTCCTTTGTGAAATGGAGCTTCTTAATCATTTGATTTCTATGGCAGAGTCAGAGAAATAACATAGCACAGTGTTATGGTTAGGTATGTGTAAACACATACGCTCTGCTTTACTACAAAGACCTTCGAGATGCACACATTTCTGAAGTCTGTACACAGTAACAAGTAGACATTAACACAGGCTGAATGGTACCACTTCAAAAAGTGACATTAAGAATTTTTTTTCACTCAGTGCACAGAAAACCCCATGGGACGCATGGCCATAAGGTGCTGAAGAGACCAAGCAAGTAAAACATTTCAGAAAACTGCTAGACATTAACATGACTAATGAGAACACTCAGGATTATTAAAGTTGTTATTTTTAAGGAAAACAAAATATGAATGTAATGTTTTATCTCTCAAGGCAAAATCACACCAACCTCCAATGCTGAAGGTTAGACAACAGGCTACTCCCAATGTCAGGGTTTCTTTCTCTAAAGCAGCTACTGCGGCCTGTCAGAGAGAAGATACTGGCCACAGCCAGCTGGATTTATGCAGTATGGCAACTGCTACAAGCAAACAACCACTTAAAGTAGTCAGCCTGAACTAATGTCAAATAGAACTGCGTAACGCGCCCTTGCAGGGATTTAAAATATGCCTGTGAGGAACCATAAAGCCTCTATAGCTTTGAACATCAAAAAAAGCCTTCCAGTGTTCAGCCAGTCCAAATTTATCTGAATCCTTTGAAGACTTCCCCAATCTCTCACTATTCTTCACCTACGCTTTTGATACATCCCCATCTCTTATCATGCTGGGCATACATTCCCTTGTACAATTTCTCTCAGCTTCTTCATTCTCTCTCTTCCCTTGCCCACAAGCAGCTTTCTGGATTGCATTTCCTCCCATTAGCTCCCTTTCCTAGACAATCAGCTGGCACAGATTTGCAGTTTGCATTTGCAGATGAAAATGCACATGCAAATAACTGTGGAAGAACCTTCTTGGTAGATGCAAGTGCCTTAAAATATGGGCACAGTGGGAGTTCAGGTCTCTCTGCAGCTTCATCCATTTTGCCCTGCTTTGAAAATTTGGCTTCTTTGCCTTACGAGTGAAATATTTTATTTAAACAGAGTATGACAGTGCGATGCATTATGGCAAAGGCAGACTGCAAAGTTGACATCTATGACAGCTCAGTAGAGCAAATGGGAACCTACAAACATGTAAGACTGAAGTGGTGGGAACAGCAGTTATGGTTGTCAGTTGCCATTCACTGTCCTTTGTTTAGGGGGAAAAAAGGAAGTAATGGAAAAATCAGAAATTTGCAAGTTTCTCTTCCTTGAGCTAAATAAGCACTTGCAACAGATACTTTGAGTGTCTTTATTTCATGAACCTATAATGGATTAAACTTTCAATTACCTCCTTAAAATAGTGCAATTATCGATTGACAAGTAAGAAGACTTTACCTGTTTTCAAAATTAGCTTATTGTTGTAGCAGAGAAGTAAGCTGTTGAAACAAATGCCACAAAGTATGAATACTTTGACTGACATGACCTTGCAAATGTAACTGTGTAGGTGAAAACAATATGCTGCAAAGCATGCGTATAAATGTGGATATGCTTGCTTTTACTCACTTGGTATGTTTTCTTCTCCCCTGCAACCTTCTTCCAGCAGAAGCAGCTAAAAGAAGTGAGCTTATTCTTCATTAAAAGATAAAGTCTCATCTCTGGGCACAATCTACACCCAAGATATAAACTAAATTCCAGAGAATATGTCGGCACTTTAGAAACTTTGTCATATAGATGTAACACTATGATCAGAGGATTTTGTGGTCTAATACCAGGACCAACATTTCCTGAGAAGGACAAACCATCAGTATATCAGATTAATGATGACTGAGAACAACTGGCACTTCTCAGAATCTGTCTGGTATCCATTCACACCAGACATTATTTTTGTTTTCTTACCTCCCACTTTTGAATTGTAGGCTACTCCAACTCCACATTTTTTATTGTTGGCTTGCATGGCAATTTCTCCTGCACACCGTGTCCCATGCCTGAATAAATACAATAAGAATAACAATATATGACAAACCATATACTTCTCTGTAATGCACACAAAGACTCACCAATGATCTTCCTGATTTAGCAGATGTCTTCTTTTACTTGAATATAATGTAACTATTGATTAACTTTTGAATTAGGCCTGACACAAAAATACTTGTTTCCCTTAGATTTCAATTGACATAAATGTACCCATTTAATCATCAAGAGGTCATCACAGTGATGTGATAAATACCTAATTCAAAGCACATTGCAGTCCACAAACATACTGGCTATCAGGACTTTACAAGCACACAAAATTGAAGTAATAGTATGAGGCTAAGAAACTGCTAAACTCCTTCAGAAAGAAATGTGAACAAGTCATTTTTAATCACAAATTCAGATATTCTAATTACTGCATTTACTTTGGATATCATACAGCCTTTAAAATACCTTCACCATAGCTAATTTTTCTTGTGATCAAGGATTTCTTATGCATTTTTTTCTTGCCCTAGGGAATTCTTGCTCCTCAATACATAAAACCTTCATATAAGTGTAATTGTAAAAGAATAGTATTATTTAATACTACAGATTGTTATTCAGTGAAGTGTTTGAATGCTTCTGGGCTGAATTCCATTTACTTATTAATAAAGATTAGAGATAATACAGGTAGATTTAAGAGATAATGTCACAGGAACCCAAGAATAATGGCCTCCCACTCTTAAATAATGCTATAACAGAATAGAAATGTCATTCCCTAAATGTTCCAGTCACGGTACATTCATCCTTTGACTGACTGCTTTATTTCCACACAATTTCTGATTTATGTTGTGGATGCTATTACATTGTCTAACAGAAACTAGTTCCTTACTGCATCTTTACTGAATAGGGCATCCTAAATGGTTTGGTAAATGGCTTTTTCTGCACACCAGTTTTTAAAGAAGTCCCTTCTCTTCTCTTTCTAATGGACAAAATTGCTCTCTGAATTACCACGGGTGAGCTTAGGTGTGACAGCTTCATCATGATGTTCCCCTGAATTCCAGGGAAGTGGCACTAAAGAGAGCACGGGAAAAAAATTCCTCACTCCTCCCAAGACACATAATTACACTAAGTGAATGGGCTTTTTGTCCATGCTCAACTCTTCCAAAGCTTTCGTTGTCTCACTGGAGACATTTAGGGCAAATCTGGTCTACAGACGTCTGTGTTTTTCTTCAGAGGAGACAGAAAGATTGTCCAGGAAGTGCACGTAACCTCCCTCAGCGTCTGAACATGCCTCACACCTAGAGGAGGATGAGGTCTGAAGCATGAGTCTACCTGTGCATGCGTATACAGAGCTGGAAGTTATTTTTTCATTGCAAAAATTGCTGCACGTACTAGATAGAAAGCGCTCTTAACTGCAAAAGCTGACCTGAAGGGGTGTTTTTTAGCTTCCTCTGAGAAACAGTCTCTTCCAGAGCACTTCAGAGGGGATATGTATTCTTTTAACTCTCACAGTACAAGGCAGAGAACTGAAGCCAGTATTTGTTTAGTTGGATGTCACTCTGCAAATACACATCATTAATACAATCTCTAAACAGATTATTCCTCTCAAATATAGAGAATTTCAGAACTTCAGGGGGAGATTAAAGAGTTCTTCATCTGGGAATTTCCTTCATTGCCAGTGTCTGTGCAATGTTATAAGGGCTTTTCCTTTCATACATATGTGACGCATTGGGCATGGATAAATTTTGCACTTGAATATCCTAACACAAAGCAATAGTTTACTCTGTTGTTCTCTTTAGACAACTGGGAAGCTACTCACTTGTTTTCATTTGTCGGATCATATCTAGGAAAAGGATCATGATCGTTGTCATTGAAATCATAACTTGCCTTTGGATCCTATATTAAAAAAAAAGAATTAATTGCGACAAGTAGAAAGTGGATTTAAAATCTTTTAATGAAAGGGGTTTTACAGCCCTTATTAAATTTGTGTGTCTCATGTTGACAGCAATGAAGTCAGTAAAATTTGATAGGCATTAACAATTCCATAAACTTTTTATGGAGCTAGAAAGGTTTTAATAATTCAGCATTAAACCACTGTATACAAATATGCGTGGCAACTAAGTTCAGTAAGGAAAAAAAAAAAAAAGCTACCTCTGTTAAATAACATCCAGCTTCCTGTGACACAGACAAGGTTTCAAACTACGCCCAAGGCAAAAATTTCAGCCTCCGTGATGTAGGGGCTGCCTCAGCAAACAGAGCAGGCTGGAGAAGAGTGCCTGTATATCCAGTTTACAACATTTTAATGCACAGACTTACATAGTTATCATAGATGTCAGTATGATTCCACTCCAAGCCATCATCCAGTACTGTGATGACAACACCTTTTCCTGTGATCCCTTTTTGCCACACAGGGAGAACATGGAGATCCAGTTTGGGCAGTGTTGGAGTTACTCTTGTATCTTGCTAGGGAACGGAGAAGGACAACAAACAGGTCAACAGTTTTATCATTTATATTACACAGGTCTAAAGTAAAGGTGCTCTAAATCATCCCATCCTTAACTTGGATATTTTGCAAAAATTTCCCAAAGATCAAACAAAACTGAGCTTGCCCAAACCTTCATAGCAAAGAAACCCTTCTCATATTGCTTAGAGTTCCCTGAAGACCACTGTGAATAAAGATTATCTCATACTTACTAGAGATGGGCAACAAAAACACAGAGAATGGTAGGGAAATGCTAATGATCTTTGAAAAATCGAGTTAATAATCAGATCTACTGATATCTATTCATTTCACCTGATGAGAAGCTAGGGCAGTAACCCACTGTGCAACAAGCTGCATTTTCTCCAAATACGCTTTCTCCTTTGAAGTCTGAGCTAGCCAGAGCAAAATAATTAATGGATAAAACAATTAAGGTAGTCACTTGGTTATGAACAACTGTGCTGAATCACAACTTGCTGTTTACTACCTTCCTTATTGTTCCCGTGGAAAATCAATTGGAAGCATGAATCATCTACAGCCCTTTCTTTCAAAGTAAGGTTTTTTTAAGGATTAGCTCCTAAATGGGTATGTTTTCTGCTCTAATATGAAGTATGTAGCACATACATTTAAGTTAGAAACTTTGCTTACTACCCTATAAAACACAGTTGTAATCACTAGCATTTTTTTCATTTTTCTCTGTGCATGATTACCTAACTTCATTGCAGGTTTTTTATATCTTAATTTCCAACAGAATGCTGCACAAGGCATGAGGTTTAGGGAAAGAAATATGACTTTTCTTTCTTTTCTTTCTGACTGCTCTGGTTCAGGACACTTTTTAAGTGTTTTTAAGTGTTTAAGGTTTTAAGTTTTGTTCTCTAGAACACATCAAATAATCACCTTTCTGGTGATGCATGAGACACTTTGAGTGGAGTAAAAAAAACACTGACATCAAATCAGGCAATAACAGATTTACTATTACAAGGCAGGAGAAATATTTTGGAAGAAAATGTTGAACACACTTATATGTTTAATCTGAAATTGCAATATATAGTAGGAACAAGTATAAGCATCACGTTCTCTGTCTCTTATGTGGGCAAAGAAGTGAAAACACACAAAGCTGGAAAGATGAGCTATTTCTCCCAGAGAGTACATTTCTTTCCTCACAGAACTGCTTTTCTCTTACTCTATGTGTGTTTGTGTATTTGTCCAATAAAACCACCTTGGAAATTCCGTATTTCCAATAAGTGGAGAAATAGAGAAGAGAGCACAAAATCAGTTTTGAAGAAATGTAAAATTACTGCAGATTTCTATTTTCTATGTTCAGAGGAAGCTTGCAGAATGGGGATACTTTGGGATATTTGGGAATACTTTACGCTATGCATTTTACTTTTTTTTTCTTCCAACTCAAAGGAAAGAAAGGCAAAACTTCATACAAATAGGCTAGACTTTGATCAGTTTTCTCTAAACTAAACTGGAGAAGAAAAAAAAATTCAAGAAGTAGGACCAAGTTTGTGTTTGAGTATTTCTCTTCATTTGCTAGTTTCATCTTTAATCCTAAACCTACTTTAAGTAGAAGAAATGAAACCTAGATTAAATGCACAACGGGATGCACAGTGGAAACAGAGATTCACAAATAAATAAATAAATAAACATGAACAAATAACTGTGTTTCTGATTTGTCCCATAGATACAAATTATAGAGGACAGAAAAATCCTTTTTAATTTATATTTTGAACATGAGCTGTAGAGAAACTCTTCACCTTAGATCAGTCTGAAAAGGGAGAAGGTGCTTGTCTTATGCATATGAGATTTTGTTTTCTTCTGGAGGATGCACTATACACTATGAATTTTAATAAAGAAGTAAATGGTCAACTTTAGAGACGATAAGGGAAAACTTACACAACAGCATTTTAAAAAAATTCTTATAAAGCTGGGTTTTAGCTATTCTACTGCTTTCTAATGTCAAGCACCATGCTGAGCAGCAGCTGCCTGAATTGGCTGCTAGATTTTTTGCACAAACTACACTTTGAAAAAGACAGACGGTTGACTGCAAATATCATGCATGCATCTTCATCCACTCCATTCACTGTAATCGCTTTGATACTGCTAAAAATACAGCTGATAACTGAAACTCATCACCCCCCAATTCCACAATGTGACAAATCCTTACCAGATACCACTGCTGATTCCACATAGGATCATTGAAAAGGTTTTCTGCTGAGTCTCTCAGGGTGGTGCGCTTAGTTCGCTTTTTTTCATACTGCTGCTCTGCCCATGACACCTACAATTATTTGTATAAATATGACAGGTAAGCAAGCCTCAACAGGTTAAAGATCTGCTTAACCTAGAGGGTAAGGGCTTCTCTTGCACAGCAAAGAAAAATGATAGCTAAAGGAAAAAGTGGAATGTTTGATGCTGAGACAATTATTTTCACACTTGTAGAGAGTACTTAAGGGAAGAGGATGTGGAGAAATCATAATACTATAATACTATATCAAATTCATATAAAATAATTTCAAGTTAACTCCTGTCAATGCCACACAATGCAGGCTTTTCTGTTGAATGTTATTTCAACCATGGTGGTTACTTTAACAACCAGAACACTGTTTCTTTCCCCTATCTACATTGTAATGTCTCTTTGTGAATGTCAAGAATTTACAGAGAAGATTCACTCTGGCTTTAGTCTAGCAGTCATAATGACGCTGACGCTGTTACTCATAGTCCAGCTGGACCTTCAAGTCTCCTTCCCAGCAGTTTTTTGAAGTGTGTTCAATTAGAAAGCTCTGAATATTGGACTAACTTCATCACTGGCATAATTCCATTTAAGGCAACTGGAAGCCAAAATGATCCCGTGTGTTTTGCTAATGTGTCTACACACTGAACTGCAGAGCATTTGTGCATCAACACAGACATCTCTAAAGCTACTAGGTTGCATTCTGAAAATGCTTCCAGTTCTGCTCTCCTGAATGGATTACTAAAACCAGTTCAAATCAAATCCAGATTCTGCCACCTTTCTTTAGGCTGTGTACTCCATCTGTAAATAAGGATAAAATGTTACTCCTTGCTGGACTGCTACTCTGACACAGAGCAGGCTGGTACTTTCCATCCCAATTTTTCAGATATGAAAAGCAAACTCCAGTTCAGTAGATTGCCACGACTCTCTAACAAGCCTCAAGTGGCGGATGCCTTTGTATCTAACTTTTTCCTTTAAAACCCTGAACAGGTTTCAGTACTTTACTGTCATCCAATGGTTTTATGGTTCTTACATCTGTCACCATATGATACAGTAATGAGTGACTCAGAAATTATTATAATAAAGAAATGCACTGATTTGATCAAAATACATTTTTCCTAATGAAAGCCTAATGGAAATTAGGTACAAGAACATAAACCCTTAAAAATGGAAGCTACTCTACACAAGTAATTAGAAAGCTCTCCAATCATACTCACTTTGTGACGTACTTGGTGCTGTAAGTAGTACAAATGGACGGTCCTACTAGCCTGAGTTACCAACAGAAGATAAACACATCCACCCAAGCATAAATATTTTAAACTGCTTTACTGATATCCAAGAGCACAGATATTTGTGCAAAGGTTAGAGCAGTTCTCCTCCTCTCTCTTCCTTGCTTACAGCAAAGCTTAGCCTCTTCGTCTCCTAACAGTAATTAACTTCTGACATCTTCCACGCTTGTTATTTTTGTGATGTGGACAACTGCTCTGTGGCAAATGAGCTGAGACCACCAAGCACATATGTCACCCAAATAAGCCAAATGCTTGTCACTCAGCAGCTGGACCACGCTCAAGCTACTCATCTATTACAAAAGGCATCATGCCAAATCTCCTCCAGCCACTGATATATGAAGTAGTGAAAACGATTTTGATTCAAGTCCTTTGCAAGGAAGTAGATTTGGGAGCCAGCGCAAATACTGAATGTTAGGGAACCAGATAATTACATCCTTTCAAAACATTCACAGCCATTATGTATTTTACAGCAAACACTGGGACAGATAGAGGGGGCAAATAAATACTCAGACTGGAGCCACATTTTGCCCTAGCCTTCACACTTACACAGACTGCATAATTCATGAAGGACCCATACAAACAAAAGCAAGATTTGCTTCTTCTCTTTCCGCTTTTTAAAGGGTTAATTTTAATCTTTCAAAATAAGCTGTTACTGAACAAGTGCAGCTCTCTGGAGTAAAGGTCCATGTATAACTGCATAGCATTACATGATTGCTTTCTGTTTGTATACTTACATAATGACATAATTACATCTCACTCATAGCTAATTTGCATGCTAGATGGTAAATAAAAGGGAAATTGGAGAAAATTTAGTAAATCACCTGTAGCACTTTGAAGCCACATTTTTAGGATCTAAGGAAATAAATTTGCCATGATTGGCAGTAACCTATGTAACCTATGTAATTGCATCCATTCTGCTTATAACATAAGTGTATTAAACACAGTTATGTTTCCTTGTTTCCCTGTATAATATATGCATTCCAGGTAATCAGTCCAAAAAAGAAGGAGAAACTGCAACCAAAATTCTGTTCCTGAGCTGTGCATTGCGACAGTACTGAAAAATTGAACATAGTTTTGGGTATTAATTAGACCATTTGTTTTAGATTCTCTTTATGTCCTTCACACATAGTAAATTTACATCCTTTATGTCCTTTATATGCCTACACTAAAACTGTGACTTAAAACATCCCAATTTAGAATGATTTCACCTAACACATTTAGCTTTTAAACTAGGTTTACCAATAGGGGAGAATGTGCTGTTTGCCAAATTGCCAAATAGGCAAAACAAACCATTTACTGCCTATTCCCCTTCCTTTGTTCTTCCCTATAAACACGGAATGACATTTGCAATCCTAAACTTCACTCAAATCACTTGTTCTCAAGTGTTTTGCCCTCAAATGACAAAAGGGTATTTTTCACAACTCGATGGCTCAAAGTTTGGGGCAGCTAATATCTTGCAGTGACTGCTGCAGTAATGCTAATGTGAGTTCATTACTCTGAAGCTTACCAGGAACTGTGCTTAGGAGGAGCTGACAGCATTCTGCTCCCTTCTTTACGTTTGCCACCCACCCCGCTTCCCCAGCATGTTTACCAAGTGGCTTGTGTGTCTCTTAAAGAAATGCAGTTTCCTTCACCGCTAAATCTACCTTAGAGCACTTAAGCCCTGGCAGGCTGAACTCCTCTACACCGTGCTCAGTCTCCGATTTCAATGGGATCCTAGAGTACCAAAACACGACTGTGATGGGTCCTCTTTGAGAAAAGGTTTTAGCTTGCCGCTGAGGTGAACACAGCAAAATCTCAGTCCTTTTTCTTTCCTTACTTTTTTTTTTTGCAATACTCAGTCACTTTAAATCAAACCTAATTTCCATGGCCATTGCACAGACATGGTCTAATTAAGCTCACTGTAGCTACGGGTTTTTACTCTGAGCCCTGTGGTTTCTCATTCATATTTTCATCAACACACATTGACAACTGAGACTTCAAACCTTGCAATGAGGCAAACTTTAAATCTTAATTCGGAAAACACTTGCAAAAAAAAAAAGGGCAAAAGAGAGTCAGATTCTGCCTCTTAATGAGAGAATGATGAAATATTATTCAACACGAGTATGGATTGCTGAATATATTAGACTTGCAAAATGAGTAAAGCACGCCTGTGACCTCATTAGAAAGCCAGCAATACGCAGAGAGCATAAAAAAAGATGCAGGACATAAAAAACCATATAAATCTAACACTTACCCGCTCATCATCGGAAAGTCTTTTAGTGATATGAATGGCACTTCTTCGAGACCGCCTTGGATGGTTTTTATGTCTGAATAGGTAGTGATTTTTGAGTGATCCAATCTATAAGATAGAGTCAGACTTTTAATACTGAGAGGTATTCCCCTACCGCAAACAAATATCAACCATCATAACCTGTCAGAATTTATTCAATAGATGAAAGGGCAGGGCACTAGCCTCTGGATATTTTAATCAGAATTAAAACACTTTTCAAGAAGATGTTCTCACCACAACCCGTCTGTGGCTAGGAGGAACCGGGGGGGACATGACCTCACTCGAGCCACTCTACTCTCGCAGTAGCCCCGTATTTCCACACCTGGCACTCCCTACGTGTTCCGTGTTAGTTCGACGGGGACGTTACTTCCATGGCCGCGTTCCGGCCCCGTCCCGAAGGCCTCGAGCGCATCCTGGGCCGGCAGGCGCGGAGCCGGGCTCCTGCTGCGGGCGCTGGGCCCCACGGCGCGCGGGGCCCGGACCCACGGCACGAGGGGAAGGCGCTATTGCACACGGGCACTTACTCATCCCTGACAACGCTGACGTCATGGCATCCCAAAAAAAAGAAAAAAAAAAAAAAGGACAAAAAAAAAGAAATGCCCCGAGTGAGGTGCGCCCTGCAGCGGCCCCGCGGGGGAGCCGGGAGCCCGCGCGCAACTTGCCGGCGCTGCCCGCGCCGCCCCTACCTGCCCCACGAGCTCGTACTCCAGCTCCTCGGCGATGGCCCTGGCGGCGTCGCGCCCCGCCGGCACCTCGGCCGCCCACTCGTTGAGGAACTGCCGCTCGGCGCGGCCGCCGCGGGCCGCGCAGCAGGCGCAGAGCAGC